AAACACACACACTGTCTCTCTCTTACAAGTTGTTTAAGACATACTTAATTTTGCCCAGCTGGTGTGGCTCAGTTGGTTGAGTGTCGTCCCATGAACCAGGAGTGCATGGTTCAATTCCTGGTCAGGGCATATGCCCGGGTTACAGGCTTGATCCCCGGTGAGGGGCACGCAGGAAGCAGCTGATTAGTGTTTCTCTCTCATCAATGTTTCTATCTCTCTCTCCTTCTCTGTTCCTTTCTCTGAAATCAATAAAACCATTTTTTTTTTAAAAAGACATACTTAATTTTGTCCTAGTACATCTAGTATGTTAGACTAGCAAGGAATTAGGAAGCTAGAAGAAAGAGCTGCCTTGATTATAGCATTTGAGTTGGAGTTTATAAAACCATCCACTTCTTTTCTTCTCTCTTCTAATCTTCCTCTTATCACCGCTTTTCTCTTTTCTACTCTCCCTTCCCTCTTTCTGCATTCAAAAACTTCAATATGTTGACTTAGATTCTTATTTTTTTTAATGTTTTAATTGATTTCAGAGAGAGGAAGGGAGATGGTGAGAGGGATAGAAACATCAATGATGAGAGAGAACCTTTAATCGGCTGCCTCCTATACAGCCCCTACTGGGGATCGAACCTGCAACCGGCATGTGCCCTGACCTGGAATTGAACTGTGGCCTGGTTGCGGGCACAGCCCCAGTGGGGGGTGTGCAGGAGGCAACCTATCGATGTGTCTCTCTCATCGATGTTTCTAACTCTCCACTGAGCCTCGGCGGCTGAGCTACTGAGATTCTTAATTAAGAAAAAGCTGCTGGTATGTAGCCAGATCTTTCCACAGCATTCTCAATGAGGAGAGCTCGGTGTTTGGCCTAACTTGACCACAGTCTTTGTTAATAGTCTAAAATTAAAGAGAACTTTGCTTTCTGTTGTCAGAGCCCCTCTGGAAGCACCAAAAATAGTGTCTCAGCTGGTACTCAGGCTAATTCAACAGGTCCAAGTTTTTTTTTTCCTTGTCTCCTGTTAGTAGGGGGAAAAGTGATGAGAATAATAATGGGAGCTTTGTAGTACTGAAAAATCCATCCAGTTTAACCTCAAAAGTTTTAGATAAACATAATCCATCTTTTATGTAATAAAATGCCATTAAAAAAAGATACACAGAAAAGGTAGGGGTTCTAAAAATGTCAGATTATCTGTAAAATATTAAAATACTTTAGAAAAATATAGGAGCAAAATGTGAAAAAGGGTTAACCTAGGAGGTGGATAGATGGCATTTGTAATACTATTTTTTCTCCTTTTCTGTATGGCTGAAATGTTTCACACACACTTCAAAATTTCATATATGTAACATTAAAAAAAGAATAAAAAATTAACCCGATCTTCATAAATAAAGAACCAAAGTGTATTAGATGAATTTGGTATTCTCTCTCCCACGCTAAACTTGCTGGCTCTTCCAAATAGTATAATAGATAAAAACTCTTTACTATGTTACTGGCTCCAAGAAAAACGATCACTATCAAAATGCGTTTCATTTTACAGAGGCCTTGACTTGTTTCTATCTTGCTCTCTCCAATCCCTGCTTTGGGGGAGATAAAGAACAAAGAAAAGAAAAAGATGGGAGGCAAGGCATCGAGACACAACTTCATGGGGTTTTCACTTGCTTTGG